AAAAATATGTAAAAGACACAGTTGAGAAAAACATGAACATTTATAAATACAGACTATGTAACAACAGAACACTAAATAGTCATAGAAAGTAAGAAATGTGTCTTATAATCCTTTAGTCAAAATATTTGCTGTAATCAATAAGCTAATAGACTACTATATATTATCTAGAAAACTAAAAAATTATAAGAATTTTTGAAAAAAGTTTGCATTGCAAAATAAAAATTCCATAATAACAAAATTTAAACATACAAGTTAAAAAAAAAAAAAAGACTACTGATGATATTGCTACACAGGCTATTCCAGATGTACATAAAAGAATGCAGGCCAATGAACAGGTGTCTAAGCCAAAGACCTAGTACTCAGGGTAAGTGTCCATATAGGTTGGTGCAGCTAGTTTTCCCTCTCTACCTTCCTTTTTCCACTCACAGTTTACAGCACAAACCAAGCTAAAATGCTAGCTCAGCTTCTCTCTTTTCACTTCCAAACAGCCCAGCTCACCAGCCGGGCATGGTGGTAGTAGCTCACGCTTATAATCCCAGCACTTTGGGAGGCCAAGGCGGGTGGATCACCTGAGGTCAGGAGTTTGAGACCAGCCTGAGCAACAGGGCGAAACCCCATCTCTACTAAAAATACAAAAATTAGCTGGGCATGGTGGTGCACACCTGTAATCCTAGCTACGTGGAAGGCTGAGGCAGGAGAATCACTTGAACCCTGGGAGGCAGAGGTTGCAGTGAGCTGAGATTGCACCACTGCACTCCAGCCTGGATGACAGAGCGAGACTCTGTCTCAAAAAAAAACAAACAACCCAGCTCTTGAATGGGCCATGAGATGCCCAAACATTTGGTCAAACATTATAGTGGGTGTGTCTGAGTGGGTGTTTCTGGATATGATTAACATTTGAATTGGTAGTCTGAGTAAAGCAGACTGCCCTACCTAATGTGGATAATTCTCATCCAATCAGTTGAAAGCCTAAACAGAACAAAAAGCCTGACCTCCTGTGAGTAAGAGGGAATTTCCTTCTGTCTGACTTCCTTAAACTGGGACCTCATTTTTTAAACTGAAACACTGACTCTTTCTGGGTCTCTAGGATGTTGGCATTTGAGTTGGAACTTAAGGTGACCCTTGAACAACGCAGGGATTATAGGCAACAACCTCCACCCCTCACTCCATACAGTTAAAAATCCATGTACAACTTTTTATTCCCCAAACACTTAACAACTAAAAGCCTACTGTTGACCATAAGCCTTACCGATAACATAAACAGTCGATTAACACATATTTTGAATATTATATGTTATACACTGTAACCTCACAATAAAATAAGCTAGAGGAAAAAAAAACATTAAGAAAGTCGTAATAGGCCAGGCACAGTGGCTCACACCTGTAATCCCAGCACTTTGGGAGGCCAAGGCAGGCAGATCACCTGAGGTCAGGAGTCAAGACCATTCTGGCCAAAATGGTGAAATCCCATCTCAACTAAAAATACAAAAAGAAAAAGAAAGTCATAAGAAAATACATTTACAGTAAACCATAAGTTTACATTATCTATTTACAAGATGAACCATCTGTCTGAAATGGCAGTCAACCTTAGCCGGAGACCTCAATCTGTATTACATATCAAGCAAATCAACTTTTTCTTGTAATATGACTTTTTTCTGGTTTTGGGGAGCATTTCCAGCATTACTAGTGACACTTCCTATGAGCCCCATGGTGTTATTCAAGGTTTACAATATTTCACTGATCATGATGAAAAATACCCAAGAACTGTGAGAGATCACTTTACTGCAATATGCAATTTACTGTACAAACTGCTCACACTGAGATGATTAGCATCGCAGAGCGTTTTAAGCGGATACTTGCAACACTTATAGGCTCACCACAATAGCAACAGGGTGGGGCTATTAAATTACTATAGTAGTACAGAATGTGCTACAGTTAATTTTATGTAGATTATAATACTGCATCTTTACATTTGTTTACATTTCTCTCTACTGGGAATAGCACCAAGTATAGTTTGTACGTTTGTGTGCATGTGTTTTGATAAATTTTAACTTTTTGCAATAGATTCCTGCATATCTCATGTTAGTAAATATGACTAGTATATATTTTATGCATTCCTTTATATTTAATTTTTTCTTACTTTTTTGATATTTCTAGGCTAGGTGGTTCATCTGCAAGTTTTTTCAAATTGTTGCATATCTCCAAAAAATTTTCCAATATACTTATTGAAAAAAATCCACATATAAGTGGACCCATGCAGTTCAAACCTGTGTATTTCGAGGATCAACTGTACACTATCATTCTTCTGGTTTTCAGGCTTTTGGATTCAGACTATAATTACAACATTGGCTCTCCTGGGTCTCCAACTTGCCAACTGCGGATCTTGAGACTTGTCAACTTCCATAACCCCCATTTCTCTATCTCTCGCACTGTGTGTGTGTGTGTGTGTGTGTGAGAGAGAGAGAGTGTGTGTGTAAGTTACAAAGACAAACACACACACAGTTCTGTTTCTCTGGAGAACCCTAATATATCTACCTACTTAAGACATCAAATTCCTAATAAAAAGATCAAAAACTGTTTTAAATTAATAATATACATAATGATGTCAATGGCAGAGCAAAATTCTCACATTGCTTGAAGAGAGTCTAATTTAAAACCTTTCTGAACAGTCATTTCACAGCATACATTAAAACTTTAAAATTGTGTGTATTTTCCTTTTTTTGAAATGGAGTCTCACTCTGTCACCCAGGCTGAAGTGCAGTGGCACGATCTCAGCTCGCTGCAACCTCTGCCTGCCAGGTTCAAGTGATTCTCCTGCCTCAGCCTCCTGAGTAGCTGGGATTATGGGCATCCATCATCATGCCGGGTTAATTTTTGTATTTTTAGTAGAGATGGTGTTTCACCATGTTGGCCATGCTGGTCTTGAACTCCTGACCTCAGGTGACCCACCCACCTTGGCCTCCCAAACTGTTAGGATTATAGGCGTGAGCCAACCCGCCCAGCTGTGTGTAGTTTCTTATCAGATAATTTTATTATAGTTTTGATTATTTCCAAAGAATATAATCAAAACTATAATCAATTATCTATGTCCCCAGGATATTAGCTATTTGACTCTGTTATTTATATTAGTAACATATATAACAGAGTCAAATTACAGCACTTTCAAAGGATGTAATAGTATGTAATGAATTAAGATATTTTCAAAGATTGGTCAAAAGTATGGAAAAATAATCATAATATAATGACAATTTTTAGAATGGTGAAAACCAGTGGTGTTTAGTTGTCCAGACTAGAGTAAAAGGCTACAATGTTGAGAGTAATTATTTCAAATTGGAGGATAACAGGTGAATTTTTCTGTATTTTTTGTATTTTCTATAATTAGAATAAATTACCTTTAAAAGAAATATAATAGAGGTCTAAAAAACATTATCCAAAACTGTTCAAAGAAAATCTTATTAAATGACTTCATTAAGATTATATGGATAATGGTCAACGAAGACAGTTTTTAAAACAAATCTGAAAACACTGTAAGAGCTTTTTATAACGTTATTTTGTAAAATCTGAGCTTTTTAATAAACTATATAGCTAGAGACATGAACTGAATTGTGATCTCTTAAAAGTCATTTGTTGAACCCCTAACTCCAAATCCAACTGTAACTGGAGATAGGGCCTCTAAAGGGATAATTAAGGTTAAATGAGATCAGATGAGTGGGGCCCTAATCCAGTAAGACTCGTGTATTTATAAGAAAAGGAAGAAACACCAGGGATGCACATGCACAGAGAAAAGGCCATGTGAGCACAAAGCAAGAGGAAGGCCACCTGTAAGCCAAGAAGACAGGCCTCAGGAGAAACCAAATCTGCCAATGCTTTGATCTTGGACTCCAGCCTCCAGAAGTGTGAGGAAATAAACTGCTGTTTTTTAAGCCAACCAGTCTGTGGTATTTTATTATGGCAACACTTGCAAACTAACATAAAACATAAAATGTACTATAAAATGTACCTCGTAAATAATCTTCTATAATTTACTCTTAGGAGGCAGCAAATCAAGAAATAAATAGTAAAAAATGTTCTTCATACCACAGTGTCATGGCATAGAGGGGGCAAGAAATCATATTTCCAAATAAAATGTTATTAGCTGGCACTATTAAAGAGAAATAAGGAGTAGGATTTGGAATATAAGCACTGTGGACAGGTTTTTTAAAAAGTTGTTCAGGTTTATAATGATTATTGTCTATCTAAAAATGTTCTATAGGCTGGGTATGATGACTCAGGCTCACGGCTGTAATCCCAAGCATGCCAAGGCAGGAAAATGGCTTGAGCCCAAGAGTTTGAGACCAACCTGGGCAACACAGTTAGACTCCATCTCTACAAAAAATTAAAAAAAAAAAAAAAATTAGCCAGGCATAATGGTGTGCACCTGTGGCCCTAGCTACTCGGAAGGATGAAGTGGGAGGATCACTTGAGCCCAAAGGTTGAGACTGCAGTGAGCCATGATTACACCATTGCACTCCAGCCCACCCTGGGCAACCGAGGAAGACCTTGTCTCCAAAAAAAAAAAAAAAAAAAAAAAAAAAACAGTGTATAAAAGATTCTGCATAACATAATAGCAAATATTTTAAATTGTTTTCACTTTATTTGTTCATGATATCTCCCGGTGCTCAAAACATTATGTGCATATGTATATGTATGTGTATGTGTATGTGTATGTGTAGATACAAATACATTCCTACAGAAATATAACTCTGAAAGCAATTTCAGTCTTATAATTACTACTGGCAGTATACCGACAAAGGAAAACATTCCTTTCCCAATCTTTTGTATTAGATTAATATGCAAGTCTCTTTTTATTTAAACTGAATTGTCAACACATTTATCCTTTTAGAATTTTCAACTACATTGCAGGGAGCATATTAAAAAAAAAAAAAAAACAGACTGTTTGATTTTCAGACCAAATTAAAATATCAGGTACCACTTTGATTTTTTTTTTTTTTCAAAATTACCTTGTCTGGATCCATCTTTCCTTTGATAAATTCTTGCTTCCAGAACTGCAATGCCTGTTCCAAAGTTAAACCAATGCCTTTCAGGAATAGGCCATACTGCATTCGGCCTCCATGACGAAGATGGTGATTTTCCCGCAAGGCTTTATGTAACTGACGCATGCAAGGTGGGAAGGATTTGGTAGAAAGCTACAAGAAAAAACAGAAGAGTTTTAAGTTACATGGAAGACTTATCAGGTTCCCTGTAGTATTTGTTATGGTTGCTAATTCAATTTAATTGGAATAAAAAACAAACCCCATAAGAAAGTGCTTCTTTATTGCTGTGGTTACAGATGACTCTTATCTATATCAGATGTTTCTTATTAACATTTTTTAATCAGTTACAAGTTAATATAGTATTTTAGATAGTTTGGGTTAAATAACATACTATTAAATTTTATTTTACCTTTTTTAAATTAAACTTTTTCTTTGAAGTTAACTATAGACCCCCACACAGTTACGAAAAATAACACAAAGAGATAGCATATATCCAAATTCCCCCAAAGAGAAAATCATGTACAACTACAGTAGATTATCACAAACAGGATACTGACATTGATACAATCCACTAGTCTTATTCAGGTTTCCTCAGTTGTACTCATGCACTTACTTCTGTATTAAATTCTATACAACTTTGTCACACATAAGTTGATACATCCACCACCACAGTCAAGATGCAGAACAGTTCTGTCACCACAAGGATCTCTCATGATTTTATAACCTTTTGCACCCTGCTCCCCTCCCTCAGCTCCCTAATCTTTGGCAACCACTGATCTGTTCTCCATCTCTATAATTTTGTCATTTCAAGAGTATTATATAATAGAATCATATAATATGTATTGTTTTGAGATTGTCATTTTTTACTCAGCAGAATTCCGTCAAGATTCATCTAAGTTGTATGTAAACTAATTTCTTTATCACTAAGTAGTTTTCCATGGTATGTATCACAATTTATTTAACTATTCACTCACTGGAGAACACTTGGGTTGTTTCCAGTTTGGGTTATTTCAAATGAAGCTATTATGAGAATCCTTGAAGAGGTTTTTATGTGAACATAAGATTTCATTTCCCTGAGATAAAAGCACAATTGCTGAATAGCAGATGAACTTTTAAGATAACTCAAATACAAAGCAGAACACAAAAATAAGAGAAATTGTTCTCATAAGGAAAATTCAAATAAATGTGTTAAAGAAATCAAGTTAAAAGGAACAAAGTGTAGGTCTTTCCCTTAGTGTCAAAAATGAAATATTGTTGCCCACTTTAATTTTTCACTTATGGTTTCAACTGCATTCTCTACGATTTCTTTAAATATCCTCCCAAGACTTAAATTCTCACTCCCTCACATATGCCTTAGCAAGTTCACTTCATCTATAACAGCAGGTCTCACTTTGCTTGACTTTGCTGCTCCCTCTAGTGACCATCCAGTTTCTCTTCATTCTTTTATAGTAACAGCTTCTGAATTTTTCCATCCCCAGTCTAGTTCATTCAGACCTATATCTTTCCTTGGTAGAACTAACTAGAAAGTCTTTCAGCTCATTTTCATGTGACCATTTTTGTTCCCTCATATTAATATCTGATTTTTTTCTAAACATTGTTCTAATCTATACAATCAATATTCAACATCCTTAGTATGAACATTCAAGGTTTCCTCAATATCTGATAACTACTTTTCTTTTTTTTCCTTTTCTTTTTTTTTTTTCAGATGGAATCTCACTCTGTTGCCCAGGCTGGAGTACAGCAGTGCCACCTCAGCTCACTACAAACTCTGCCTCCCAAGTTCACGCAATTCTCCTGCTTCAGCCTCCTCAGTAGTAGCCATTACAGGTGCCTGCCAACACGCCCAGCTAATTTTGGTATCTGTAGTAGAGACAGGGTTTCACCATGTTGGCCAAGCTGGTCTCAAACTCCTGACTTCAGGTGATCCTCCCACCTCAGCCTCTGAAAGTGCTAGGATTACAGGTGGCATGACCCACTGTGCCTGGCCAATAACTATTTTTCAATTATACATAACAGAACAATTATTTATTAAGTGTTCTGGAAAATAAGCTAGGACATAATTTTCCCCTTCAATTCAGTTAAGGAAAAAAACACAACGATGATTATATTCACTATTAGGTAAGTTAAACACATGAAATAAATGACAAAATGAAGGCTCCAACAAGGGCAAAACTTGAGCACCACAGAAGCACTGTGGCAGGGAGCCCAGGAAAGCCCAGTGTACTATTACTACACCAAAACGAGTCTTCAGCTCCAGTCCACTGGGTTATTCACTATCCCATGACCACGCAGTCATGCTCTGTAGCTTCTCATTTTTCTCACTCTGCTAGCCCTACCTGGTGCACACTTCTCATGCACACGCCATGTAGCCAAAGCCAAGTCATCATTCAAGACCTAACTCAATTTCTATTTCTTTTGGCACATTCCTTGACTACTTTTTATTCATTCAATCAACAAATATTTATTTAACACTTACTATGTGTACAGCCCTGGGGAACCAGTAGTGAACAAAGAAGTCAAAAACCCTGTCCTCAAAGAGCTTACATTTTATTAGAAGGAGATGGACAATGAATACAGACATTAAAAAGATAACATCTGATGCCAAAGCACTGGAAATGAAATAGAGAAATGAAATCAAGTGTGATTAGGGGAGAGGTACTTCAATTTAGGTGGCCAGGGAAGCCTTTTTGAGGAGATGGCATTTCAAGTAAGACAAGGTAAGTTGCATTCTAGTGAAATGAAGATCCTGAGAAGGAATAAACATGGTGTGCTAAAAGATAGCATAAGATTCATGTGACCAGAGCAAGTGAGTGAGCCAGAATGGAGCAGAAGACAAAATAGAAATGATGAACACATATGGCTTCAGAGGCCATAAAATGAGTTTGGATGTTAGTCTACATATGATGAAAACCCACTAGAGGGTTCTGACCAGAAGACTGACGTGATTCAATAAACAAAGAGAACTCTGGCTGTTACGTAGTGAAAAGACTATATGAGAGTAAGAATGGAAGCAGGAGGGATATTTAAGAGGTGTGGGCAGTAGTCCAAATAATAAAAATTTAAAAGATAGTGTCCAGCTATATACAGATAGAAAAATGATTATGGAAAATGAGCAAACAAAAGAATCATAAGTCCAGGATAGAGGATGAATTATCAACTTGGATCTTGTAGAGGCCAAGAACAATAATAAGAATAGCACCAGTACACAAGATCATTAGTTAGGTGTTCAAATCATCAGTGAATACAGGTGTGGAGGGAGGAGGTGGAGTAGCAACAGAGGAGGTATCAGATGATATAATAAGATCATAAGGGCTTTAAAGGAGCTGGAGCTGTAACAATGGAAGGCGGAGAAATGTGGACCAAGACACTCGGGGCACACCTATGTACGAACTCAGGGGGAAAGTTGTCTCTACTTGAAAAGGGCCACAGGGAAATAGCATTGAGAAAGCCAGATTTGTTAGAAGAAAAAACTAAAGAAAACATTTGGAGACGAGTTGCAAATATCAAGGGATATGCAAATGACATGCTGTTGTAAAGATCAAACAATACAGATACAGAGTTAGAAGGCAGTCCAGAAAAAGATACATCTGTATTACTTACCACGGGGTCTCAGGCACAGACCCATGACAGGATCATCATCATAACACTTAACATTATATTGCTCATTTACTATTTATTATGTTGTCTCTCTCCCTCATGTAAGGTCCATGAAGGCAGGGACATTTTCTGTTTTCCTCACTTCTGTATCCACAGCACAATGGCTGGTACATAACTGATGGACTCAATATATATTCCTTAAGTGAATTAATATTTCTATGAACTCCAACAGTATCTAACCAAATTCACATATGCTTGTGAATGGGGAAACATCTAGCTAGAACTAGGAACAAAATTAACTTCCAACCACTCACATTATATAAACACAAATCACATGAGTGGAAGTGAGAAGGGGGACTGTTAGAGATAAGTGTTTAATAAAAAAAATTAAAAGATGGGACATCTTTGAGAATAAATTTCAAATCAACAAATCAACTGTGTAAAGTAGCCAACCCTATTGTTATTTCTAGACATATTAACTACAAGTACTTTTTCATAATTTTTCAAATGGAAGATGACCTATTCATTCTGATCCAAACTCATGGTCTCTCTCTACTAGTCTTATTACAGTTCTTGTTTCCAAGCATTAAAATCCTGGTGTATTTTTAATTTATTGTGAATAATTTGGTAGTTGTCTAACCCAAGATTATTTATGGCTGGCTTATTTTCCCTTTTGTGTATGGAGCGCAAATTCTGTTACGTATTAAAGAGAAATTCTACAAGTATGGCAAAGTACGCTACTCTATGGAACCACAAAGTGAAATGATGTTAAAATAAGCTATCTATTAATTTCATAGCCTACACTAGGTGATGAATTGCCCTCTCCCCCTGAAATTCATATATCAAAGTTCTGACCTCTAGTAGCTCCAAATGTGACTATATTTAGAAATGCGGCCTTTAAAGAAATCATTAAGGTTAAAGGAGGCCATGGGGCTTGGGCCCAGGTCTCACGTACTCAGTGTCCTTACAAAAAGAAGAGACACCAGGGATGTATGCAAGCAGTGGGAAAACCACAGGAGAACACAAAGAGAAGGCAGTCATCTATGAGACAAGAAAGGCCCTGGAAGAAATCAAACCTCCTACCACTTTGATCTTGGATTTCGAGCCTCTAGACTGTCAGAAAATAAATTTCTGTTGTCATGACAGCCCTAACAAACTAATACACTTAGTGTTTTCCATTTCCCCTTCATTAAATGTACACAGTATTTAAATGTAAACACAAATTCCATTTAGTTATTTAAAAGAATTTCTGTTTGGAATAACTGATTAAATTCTGCTTTTATAAAAGTACAGATAATTTTCTGATTAAACGATTTTCCTATGATTTTTTAAAAATCATATGTGTAGGACATGGGATTTTCTTTAAAATTAATCAGCAAGCATTGGAAACACATTCTATCTCCTCACCCAAAAGTCTTTGATTTAAGAAAGTATATGTTCCCTCCATTGATAAAGTTCTAAGTTTAAAAGAATGTGCTACTTACCGAATCAATCTGATCTAAAGAAATCTTCCCAACATTTCCCTGGGTACTGTAATCTTGGCCAGTGTAGGAATGACTTTAAAAAAAGAAAAACAAGCAAACAAATATTAAAACAGATTCATAAAATACTTTTGATCCCTTCGAAGGAAATTTTTAAATTCTGAAAATGATTAAAAAAAAAAAAAGAATAAGAAAGCATTTTACATATAAACCTTAGCAGAAACATAGCCAAGTGTTTTAAATGTATTTAATGAAATTAAAATTTAAGTAACTTACCCCAAAATAATACAAAAATATAGTAACGGTCTGAACCTCCTGACTCCTAGTCTAGAGCACCACTTCTATTTTTCAGAAGCGTAATCCAAGTTGTTGTTAAAGTTCAAACCTCTACCATTTATACTTGATTAACAGCAAGACAACACAGCAAAAAAGCAGCTGGAACTTAAACTGGGAACCATCACTTAAAAGCAGTAAGTGAGCAAGTTACTTAGTTACTCATTCTCTGTAGGCCAGGTTCCTTACTGACTAACGGTGATAATAATGCCGGCTTTGCAGTATTGATAGGAAGTCTGAATTGTAAGAATTTTTGTTAAAGAGCCTGACATAAAGTAATTACTGTTTATTAAAATAAATAATATCTGAATAGCACTTTACAATGTACAAAGAGTCTTTGATAGCCTCTAATTAGATCCTCGCAACCCCCTGAGAGAGCGTTTCTATATATCATTTGATGAATGGAGGCTTGGAGGAGTTAGAAACTTGTTAGGATCAGAAAGCAAGTGAGCAGTGCAGTGGGAACTCAAACCTTTTGATTCCTAATTCCCTATTTTATCACTGCACCATATCATCCTCTTCCCTACAATAAATTTTCCTGCAGGATTATCTTCAAATTAGGAAACATAACTTGGTATATACTACCTAAAGCCACCCACCTCAGTAATGTTTCACCTCCTTGACACAACACACTACTCACGCCCAACTCCATGAACATGGACTCAGGTGCATGCAGGTGTGACATAGCAAAAAACAGCTGCTAGATTACATAGAAATTCACAATCAAACCAAGAATTATACAAATACCACAACTAAAGGGAAATCCTGGAGTGAATAGTCATTATGATCATAAAGAATTCCACCGGGGCAACAGAGTAAGACTCTGTCTCTATAAAAACAAAAAACAAACAAACAAAAAACCTGGGCATGGTGGCATGCCTGTAGCTCTAACTACTCTGGAAGCTGAGGTAAGAGGATTGCTTGAGTCAGGAAGAGCAAGGCTGTAGTTAGCCATGATCATGCCTGAGCACTCAAGTCTGGGCTATAGAGCAAGACTCTATCTCAAAAAAAAAAAAAAAATCCAGACACTATTTTTTTTTTTTTTTTTGAGACGGAGTCTCGCTCTGTTGCCCAGGCTGCCCAGGCTGGAGTGCAGTGGCGTGATCTTGGCTCACTGCAAGCTCTGCCTCCCAGGTTCATGCCATTCTCCTGCCTCAGCCTCCTGAGTAGCTGGGACTACAGGTGCACGCCACCATGCCCAACTAATTTTTTGTATTTTTAGTAGAGACGGGATTTCACCGTGTTAGCCAGGATGGTCTCGATCTCCTGACCTCGTGATCTGCCCGCCTCAGCCTCCCAAAGTGCTGGGATTACAGGTGTGAGCCACTGCGCCCAGCCTCCAGACACTACTTTCTATCTGCTCAGTTACAGATGTTAAGTATCAGAATTAGAAATGGCATTTCTCCTCTACTCATCTATAATCAGAAAGGCTTAGTATGTCTGCATTAGAGGAGGTGATAATAAACATCACAGCTACTTAACACATATTTGAACTAGTTAAGGATAGCTGGGGGCAGGGGGCTTGTTAGATACAACACAAGGCAGGCAGAGGGTGAGAAGCCTGTATCCCATACTCTGCAGGCAGTGAAAAATCATGAAAAGGTATGAGGCAAGAACTGACATAATCCAGTTTACACTTGAGAAACAAAGTAGTGTGGGGAAATAATTAGAAAGGGGAGGGACTGGCAACTAACTGGAAGAATACTGTAGGCAATGTTATATCCAGGCGAGGGAAGTTAAGAGCCTGAGTAAAGTAGTGGTAACGATGGAGAAAGGAAGGCAACAGATGGGCTCAGGAACTTTTCTGGAAAAGAATAGATATGCTTTGATGAGGGAGGTAGAAAAGTCAAGAATAACAGTTTCTAGCCGGAGTGTCTGAGTGCTTCCAAGACACGATTTCACTCTCCACAAGACAAAAACTATTTAGCCTAAACAATAAAACTGTAATTCAGGAATAAACTTACAAAGAAATTATGAAAATACAAGTTGTGATAATAAGTTTTCTTTACTTCGTATTACAATGTTTCCAGGTGAATGGTGTTTCCTCATAATAATGAAACATTGACAGAAGCTCAAAAATCAAGGTAGAAGAAAAACAAATAACGCTGCCATAAAATAATAAAAACCCTTAAAAACAATTCACATTGGCTCATGAAACTGGCTTTTACTTGGAAGTGCCAAGAGATGGTTCTAAAGGAGAATCCTAACAGGTAGCCAGGGAAAGAGACGCACCCTTCTCCCACATTCAGAGCTCAGCGCCAGCTTTCTATCGCACTGCTGCCAAATAAATGAAGCTGCTATATTAATGAAATGTCAAAATACATGCTTATTTTCATGATTTAAAAAAGATTGATTTTATGAGGGAACATGTCTTAGTGATTATTATATTGGGAAAACACAGAAAGTCATTTTTAACAGCAAAAAACATTTCTAATTGCTTCAACATCTATAAACACATGCAAACCCAGCAGAAAATAGTTTTCTGTCCATTTAAAATACTCACAGCTTTATTTTGAGAAACATTCACTGTCAACAACATAGTTTTTTTAACAAGGGATTCAGAAAGCATAAAAGCTTTTCCACTCCTAATGTTTCATAAAAGAATAAAGTGAGATATAACACAAATACCATTTTTTCAATATAGAACACCGAAGAACATTTTAATGGGTCACAAAATTCAAATATGTCATTAATGACTATTTTGCCAAACATAAAGGGCAATGTTTGATTAACTAATCAGAGAATCTTGAAAAATCTGAATTTGATGTCCTTAATTCTCAGTTTAGCTACTAATTTTCCACAAGTTTAAAAGGAAAAAGACAAGGCAAGCTATGCCTCAATTTTTTTCATCCATAAATATGTGTGGTAAGGGATAAGGAATTGCAGTGATTTACTTTCACTTCCTATGCATAATTTATTTGCTAAAGTATCAGGTGAAAGGCATTAAGGGTGAAATATCAGTTTTCTCAACTTACAGAAAAGTAGTGAAAACAATAAAGATGTGGTTCAGTGAATATCCAATTACATTTGAAATCTATCTGAAGACACTGGGTTGCAAAAGGATATCGTGTACTTTTGCTAAAATGTAACAATTACTGCACCGTACCAGCAAAATAAATACCTTCACTACCGAAACAGAACCATATAAATGCATAAAACCCAGGACAAACTACTTTTTTAATATCACTAGATTGTCAGATTCTCTCTCTATAAGACACATTTTTTCCACATCCCAGTTGTTGTCCTGATCTGGATGTAACAGATTCTAATTATTAAAACAAACAAACAAACAAACAAAAAAACACCACACACACACCTTCAGGAGTCCCTGTACAACCCCCCATCTCTCGGCATGCACTTACTAAGCATCTCTGTGACCAAGGAAGGGTCCAAGCAGTGAAGGATCGACACAATCCAGGGAGGAGAACAACAAAGCTCAAAACAATTGTTCTCAGGCCTACAGAGAAGAGGTCTCTTCTAAATGAAGGGTGAGAGAAGAAGGTAGGCAATGTGAAGCATTAAAGATCTTTGAGCAATAAAATGACACTGAATAGAGAGAGTCACGCTTTAGAAACACAGACTACAGGATTCTAGAATGTTATTAAAATGTTGTTGAAATGACTGACAACAGGTCTATGTTGAATAGAGAGGCCTGCTGAGCCACAGGGGGAGGTGATCTTGGGGGACTGAAATGGAAGGCTGGGATGAAGGGAAGATGACCATCAGTAGGAATGAGCAACTGGGGAGTAAAGTGGAAGAATCAGAGATTGTAGTCAGAAAATAATTTAAGCTTGGAGGTTTAGAAGTAGGATGTGATAATCGCAAAAAAAGTCAAAGGCCCGGCTGTTTTAATATTTTTATCATTTGCAGTTTAACAATGTTGAATATATTAAAACATTCTGACATTTTGACCAGATTCATAAAATTATGTGATTAAAGTTTATTAAGGTTGTTGAAGGGATTTTAAAGTAAGAATGTGATAAGGGCGAGGCATTTTGGAATAATAAACTCTTTTTCTTGGGATCTGAAGGGTTATCACATAACAGATGGATGGGCAGAAAAGATATGCAAAGCCAAGAAAATTTCTACAAAGTAGTTGATAGATGAAGAGGTTAGGTTAGAAAAACACACAAGCAAAGGCAAGTGGGCAGGGGATGGGGGAGAAATTCAGTAGGAAATTAGGTAGGTCCTGAGATAGGAATTTAATCAAAGACCATTACAATAAAATTTTAAAAACACCTTTAAGTCCTATTTCCTTTGTAATAATATAGTGCTAAGTTTCTCTTTTAATGAAAATGTGAGGTTTTCTTCAGGTTTCTAAACACCTAAGTGTACATACAATAGTGTCTTCTAAGAAAACAGAATTTTGCAATTGTGTATAACAAACTCTGCTTACACAGAAGTAATCTGGTGTCTCTCCCTATGTTTTTGTTTTCTTTTGAGGTGATGGTCTTAAATTATATACTCTGCTATAAGAGAATTCATGATACACAAAATATATAAAAGCATCTTTTTTTTTTTTTTTTTAAATTTGAGACAGAATTTCGCTCTTGTTGCTCAGGCTGGAGTGCAATGGTGCGATCTCGGTTCACCGCAACCTCTGCCTCCCGGGTTCAAGCAATTCTCCTATCTCAGCCTCCCAAGTAGCTGGGATTACAGGCATGTGCCACCATGCCCGGCTAATTTTGTATTTTTAGTAGAGACGGGATTTCTCCATGTTGGTCAGATCGGTCTTGAACTCCT